CAGTACTAGGGAATGAATGTAGGGCCTGAACATTCTAAGCAAACACTCTACCACTAAACTACATTCCCAGCCTTGATGTGTATGTATTGACCATAACTATATTTCAAACTACACGAGACAGTGGGATCCTAAAACAGAACACACAAGTGATTGCGAAGGCCCTACTAGATGAGTAAAGTATCCTGCCTTGGACTGTTTTCTGGCATGTTCCTCAGTGGCTTTTAGGTTACTGCACCAGAATTGTCTGAAGGTAATTTTTAAAAAATGTGAATCTGGTTTTCTAGAATCAGAACATCTGGGGATGGGCCCACAGATCTGCATTTAAGAGGCCTTCTGTTGAATGGGAAAATCTGAGAACCTCATGTTTTGAAGGTTAAGGTCAGGGGTGGTGTGGAGGAGGAGTGTAGACTAGAGTTCATATGGGACGGCTTAACTAAGAAGTCTTGGTTTAAAGGATGTGAAAGCTATGGATTGAATTCCCAGAACAGCAGGAGAAAGGTGGGGAGGAGCCTGGTCTTCAGGGAGTCATATAGAGGTGGGAAGCAGAGTGAGCACAGCCAGTTCCTGAATGCAAAGTTGGGCTTGGCCATGCCTTAGGGCAGAGAAGTTGCGGAAAGACTCATATAGAAGGGGGACCCAAGGAAGGAGGGGATGTTAGATGACTTAATATAGTTTTCTGATGGTGGTGGTCATGATAATTTTTGAAGTATTGAGGATTGAACCCAGGGCCCTGCACACGATAGGCAAGCACTCTAGCACTGAACTATAGGCCCAGCCCTGATTTTCTGCACTTGAAAGAAGAGACTAGAGCTACCAGGATTTGGCAGATAAGGAACACATCTGTCTTTATCTGTCTGTCTTCAAGCTAAGAACTGGTGACTTGTTTAGGGATTACTGATACCTGAAGATGATGTCTATTAATCTTATGTTTATGAACTCCCACGTAGTAACTTAAACTTATTGCAAATCTAAAGGATTCTTTCAGATAGATAGACTTATCATAAACTGAATTGTGCCTTCCCAAAGATACAAAGTCCTAACCCTTGGAACCAGTGAACATAACCTTATTTGAAAATAAGATCTCTGCCAATGCAATCAAGTTGGGATGAGATTGGCCTATATTGGGATGGATCCTAAACTAATGACTCATGTCCTTATAAAAAGAGGAAAATTTATGACCCAGATACAAAGGGAAAAAGATGTAAAGATAGGGACACAAATTAGTTATGTGGCCAGGAGTGGTGGCACATTCCTCTGATCCTTATACTTGGGAGGCAGAAGCCGGTAGATCTCTGTGAGTTCCAAGCCAATCAGGGCTACATAGTGAGACCCTGTCTCAAAAATAAAACCAAACAAACCAACTAACCACCACTATAAATATCAAAACCCAAAACAAATTACAGTTATGCAGCTAGAAGTTCAGAAATGCCATGGATCAACTGTTAGCCATTCAAAGCTAGGAAGAGACAAGGAAGGATGCTTCTGAGAGCCTGCAGACAGAGCACAGCCTGCTTACAGACTTAAAGTTTTCAAAACTGTGAAAGAATTTCTGGAGTTTTAAGCTGGCCAGTTTGTTGTGCTGTGTTTGGGCAGTCCTAGAGAGCTGAAGCAGGCCCTAAGGGAGGCAGGCGATGTTCACGGGGTAGAGAAGTACAGTATCCCTGTGCCAAGTGTTGCTTCTGTAAACTTTCCATAAATATGCTCTGATAAGTACTGCACAAAGTGTACCTATTTTATTTATTTTTAATTTTTTTAGTGTACCTAATTTTAAAAAGATCTGAGGAGGGGATTTGGGCTGGGGTGATGTTAAGGATGGTGTGGGGAAGCCTGAAGTACCTGTTCCTTCTACCTGTCTCCAGTGTCAGACCTACCCCCCAGGGCTTCCATGAGTTGCTCCTCCAAGGGCTGTGGATGGTTCCTGAGCAGTGTGTACATGGACATCACCATCCCAGGGGTGCAGAATCCACACTGGGTGCCGTGGATCTTGGCAATCCTCTCCTGAAGGAACACGTACTTGGTCACAGCCCTGCCCGCCTGCGGCCACCAACTCTCTCTCATAGCTTGCACCTCTTTTGTGGTGGAACTCACTTTCTGAGAAAAAAATGCCTCATTCCTTTTATCAGCTCTGTGTGTCCCCTTTCCTAGGCAGCTCCTGGAGGCAGTCTCTCAGAAGCCATATGTTATCATTTTAATATTACTCAGAGCCAAGTGTCCCAACCCTTCTGGTTGGGAATTATCAGTGTGCAGCCTGCACCCCCAATGATAACAATTCTTCAGGGATCAGTAATCATTGGGAGGGTGTGTAGAAATTTCAAAATCATTTTTCTCAAATACCTACACATTTCATGCAGTTTAGTTCTCATAGGGAGGCTGCCTGGTTTTGATTGATTTGGAAACCATTGCTGATCTCACTGCACCTTCTCCTTCAGTTTTGTCTGTGTTGGCTCAAAAGGAGCTCTGCTATCAGAGATTGAGGATTTTGGCCTGTGTTCTAGAACCTTGTTATTTAAAGTGTGGTCTATGGTCTGGCAGTATCGATTTCCCCTGGGAAACTCTAGGGGACCCTGATGCAAACCTCTTGACTCAGAATCTCCCTTTATTTTTCTTTCTCTTTTTCTTTCCTCCCTTCTTTCCCTCCCTCCCTCCCTCCCTTCTTTCCTTTCTCCCTCCTATTCTTCCTTCTTGCTTTTTCCCCTGCAGCCCTGTCGCCTCTAGAAAGGCCCTGTGCACTGACCTGCCTGCTGGCCACCCGGGAAGCTGTTCTTTCGGAGACAGGGTCTCCCTGTAGCTCCAGCTGCCCTGGAACTCATTATGTAGACCAGGATGGTCTCCATCTCACAGAGATTTGCCTGCCTTTGTTTCCTGAGTGCTGGGATTAAAGATGTGAGCCACCATGCCCAGCAGAATCTGCATTTTTAACAAGTTCCCGTTGACTCTTGGGAACACTAAAGCTTGGGAAGCCACACTCTGGATTTAGCTGTGATACCATCTTGGATTCCAATGTGTCCACCTTGCTGTGAGCATCCTGTCTGACTTCCTAGTAGACTTGAGAAGACTTTTCTAGGTCTTTCTTCTTTGACAATCTCTTTGGAATTGATTCTCATGTGGTTAAACCCAGACACACTTGGTTTCCTCTTGTCTGGAAAGACTGAGTGTTGGTTGACCTGGCCCTGTGAGCCCCCAAACTCTGTGACGATGACGGAGGAACTGATGTCAATGCATGTCATGTTATACTTAAATCCAACCTTTGTTCTTCAGTCTCAGGCTAAGAATTGGAGGAATTATTGTCTCCACACTCTGGGGAAGTTACTATCAGACTCTCTTCATCCTAATTCTGACTTTACTCCTGAGACTTCTATGCCACAGGGAACAATCTCCCTGAATTTTAACCTGTTAGCCTTAGAAGTTTTATTTTATTTTACTTTTTTAAAGGTATGGCTTTTTGAGACAGTATCTCATGCATTCTAGGCTGGCCTCAAACTCACTATGTAGTAGAGGATGACCATGAACTTCTGATCTTTCTACCTCTCCCTCCCCAGTGCTGGGATTATAGGTATGTGCCACCATGTCTGGTTGATACAGTCCTGAGGATTAGTCCAGGGCTTTGCACATGCTAGGCAAGCACCCAACCAACTGAACTATGTCCCCAGCCCCTTAAAGCCATTTTATTCTGTATTAGCCTTTGTTCAGTATCTACTTCAGTTTATAGTATAATGGATGTTAGACAATGTTTTTAAAATCCTGATATCATCAAAGTAGAAAAAGTAACCAAAAGATGATTATCTAATGAAATGCAGAAGAAATTTCAACTTTCTCTTAAATCACAGAGCAGATGTTATGACCCTGATGAACAAGCATCCAAACCCGATAAAGACCCAGAAGGCTCAGGTGGCACAGTCTGCTCAGCATTTGATAAAATGAAGGAGTTTAGAAGAGAGAGGAGTAGGATGTGCTCTTACCTGCACTGGATGAATCCTGGTTTTGATGCTTCCTACACCTTCCACGGTGGTGACAGCGGCCCCATGCAGAGAGCAGAGGGGCACCAGACATGCAGTGACAGAGAAGTGTCTTTGAATGAGAAATACAAAGGAAACCAAGTGGAGTAACACAGTCCTGCCTCATGGAGGAACCTAGAACTGAGAAGGGCAGCAGGAAACCTCGCCAGTCTGTTCAGCTGCTGCCCCAGGAACTGCAGGGGTGACAGATGGGAAGAGTCAGAGTTCTCTCTGCTATATGTGAGAATTGGGGATTGTCAAGGTGAATCTGGATACACCGTGCTTCAGGACAGGCTTTATTATCCTAAAACGGGCTTCCCTGGGGAGTGGTGGGAATGGACTTGTGTCATTAGGAGGCTGGTTGGTCTTCTAGTCTTCTCTAGGATGCTGACCTCATAACAAGTGAAGGGGACACTTATGCTTTTACCCATAGCAATACATTTTGGATTCTGTGTTTTGTTAATTTAAGCTCTCTGTGTGAGGTCACTTAACAGTGGGGGGTGATCTATGTTCTGAAACAATCTTTTAATCTGGGCCGACAGATTTAGATGACACCCAGATTAAAGGGTGAAATAGTGGCCCAGGTCCTTGTTCTGCAAGGTTGGCCCAGTCCAAGAATGGAAAGAGCATTAGCTTCCAGGCCAGAAAATATGGGTTCAAGTTCTTGATCAACAAGCTACTTGTTATGCAACCTTGAACAAGTCACTTTTATTTTTCAGTTTGATTTTTTTCCCCTTTTGTCCTATAATTCTTAAAATTTTTTTAAAATTTATTATTTTTACCCTACATGTATGAGTGTATTGCCCGCATGTATATAAGTGCACCCATGTTGTGCAATGCCCATGGAGGTCAGAAGAGAACATTGAATCCCCTGGAACTGGAGTTATGAACGGTTGTTAGCCACCATGTGGGTGCTGGGATTCAAACCTGGGTCTTTTGCAAAAGTGGTCAGTGCTCTTAACCACTGAGCCATCTCTCCTATAGTTATTTAAGTTACCTCTGTTTTGGTGGGAGGTTCAGTTCCTCATCTGTGAAATAAATTGTTGGTCTGACTTGAAGTTTTTTCATCAGAAATATGCAGATGGGCCTTGGGAGGTTCACAGTCTCCCAGAAATAATATTCAGAATACAATTAGCTTGTGCATTATCAGAGTAGATGGCTCACAACACTTGTAGGGATTTTCAGAGGGATCTGAGATCCAGACACAGCAAGAATCTGAAATCATTTTATAGTTCTGTGACAGAATACAAGCCAGGCCAAGACAGAGCCCTCTTCTGGCTATTGGACTTTGGGGTGGCTACCTTATCTTCTTGGACACCAGGTCGTGCTTGGACAGCATCACAGTGCAGGCCCCACAGCCTCCTGTTCCACAGGCATACTTGGCTCCTGTGAGGCGTACTGGGAGGAGGGAAGTCAAGGAAAAGATGCCAAGGTGGACATGTTGCCAGTATAGCTGCTTCCCAAGGGCGTCACTAATGGGGAATGTGCTTGTGGGGTGAGATGAAGGTCTGAGAAATCATTCGCTTACCTCTGGATCTTAGTAAAGGCCAGTCTGTATCTTGTTGGTTGCATGACTCTGGACATATTAACCCGTCCCTGCATATTTCCCATTTAAAAGAGGAAGAAGTAATACCTACATTATCACCATAAACTTATTATAAGCATCTTGTAGGATAATGATGTAAAACTCCTTTGAAAATCCTTCTTTCATTATAAGATATTCTTGTATGTCTTTGGTTCTAATCAAGTAATTGGGAGAGAAGAACTTTATTTTCAGGAGCTCAATGCATTGTTAGTTTTGCCTGGTAATAAGCCAGGCAGCAAAGCCTAGCCTTCCTCTGGCCATATTGCATTTGAAAGCACAGTGAAGAGATGCTAGCAGCTCTCTCCTCACCTTCAGCTCCTACCTTGAGCATCCTTCTGCCCTGGCTCCCTCCAGGTAATTCCAAAGCTAGGCTCAGCCTTGGCTCCTTCTCTTTATTCTTCCTTCTTCCTAACTGTATTTCCACACCATTTGTTTGATTGGACATGATTAACTAGACTGACTTAAAAGACTTCAGAATCAATGATTCTTTGTTGTTAGTCTCTGCTGTTTTTTCCTAATGATAGCACTGGTTCTTCTGAAATAAGTCATAGTTTCAAATACTGATCAGCAGGGTTATGTAAGGGAAGAGCAGGATGCATAAGACTGAGAGCCTCGGCCTCATTTCAGAGAGGGGAACTAGGACAGTCCTCACTCAGCTCTAAGCAAAACTGGTGTCTTGAAGGAAGGGTAACTTCCCATTTGCCACAATCAGTAGAAAAGTCTTGATTGATTAAAACATTAAATTTCCTAATTTCCCAATATTGATGACTAGTTAGAAACCAAGTGTGCTTTTAAGTGAAATGTTCAGGGGCCAATTTCATCAATTTGTAATTCTTGTCATTTAGTTTTATTTGTTTTTTGGCTTCTCTAAGAGATCCATCAGGTTAACTAATTAAAGTATGTTTGTCATTATGAAGCTCTGTGTTACAGAAAAAAGCACAGAGAAAATGTGGGAGAAAATCTCCTGTAAGAAAATAGATTCAGGGGAAATAAATCTTTTCCCTCGACACAGTCAATCACTGAATCTGAGAATGTGGTTTTACGAAGGGCAGGTCACAGGTAACACAAGCTTCTATTACACAGCACTCTGGTGGATCTGCAGAGCTCAAGTACAGAACTCAGCTTCTGTTTCATGGTATTCAATCACACGTAAACGACTCTGGGAAACTTCCTCCTCTCTAAACTAGCTCAGTTAACCTGATATGCTCAAAGCCATTGCAAAAGGCAAATAAAAAGCAAGGGCCTGGGGCGACTGGAGATGGATCACGTTTCATAATCACACCAGCTTAAGTTCTACAGACATGGCCAGGACTTTGATCAAAAGGGTCCAGTTCTTTCGCAGGAAGGCCAGCAGAGTCTCTTCTGGGTCCACATTCCTCTCTGTTACCTGCAGATGAAACAGAGATGAGATTATGGGATTGAGTGGGTGACTCAGTGGAATGTCTATTGTGGCCTCTTTGATATAGGAGATGAAATGTAACACATCAGGCCTCCTTTCATCAGCAACTGCTTTGAGGGCAAACAATGTTTACAGGGTACAAAATGAATGCAGTAGCATTCATTCTATGTGGTGGGAGCCGGGAACCACTGTGGTGTGATGATATCCCCGTACCCTTCACATTTTTTCCCATTTGCTCCACTATCTGCCTTATAGGACCTCCCAACTCGGTCTTTTGAACTTTGGAAGTATTTCAAACTTGGATCAACTTGGATTGTGTTTATCCAAAGAAAGATCTTACAGGAAGGAAAGCTGGGTAGAAAGTTTCTGCCACCTCTGAGACACACGGTAGGGAAAACATCTGATGACCTCAGAAGTCTGTGTAAGTTTGTCACAGCAAGTGAGTGAGAGGAGTTACTGTCATCCTAGAGAGATTCTCGAGTCAGCTGGTTCCCCAAATGTCAGAGTGGCCTGCTGGTGAGCCTTGATGCCCTGCTCAGAACCCAGGGTAGCTCTGGTGGGACACTAGAATTCACCTGTCACTTCCCTTGGGAAGTGGAGGTGGTCACATTAAAAGTCATGAGGGACCTTCCTGGTTGCCTCTTTCCCATTTTAGGGCATTCACTTTTGTTTTGAGATGTAGTGTGACTACCTCTAGCCCAGCCAATCTGTTCTATGGGAGGAAAAGAAGCCTCAGTGGACCAATGCTAGTTTCTTCCTTTCTCCCCAGAAGAAAGACACTAATTTATGCATATCTCAAAAAATATAAATCTGCAGGAAGATGCTTCTAAGGTGAGAACCATTTACTGGTTCTCTAGGGGGAACTCATCAGTGGGCAACAACAAAATCACTTCTCTGCTGCCCTCACTCCACCTCAGGCCCTTTGCAAACAGCTACTGAGAATGTGATCGAAACAAAAATAAATATAATCTAACAGACTCCCACCACACAGATTTGTGATTCCTCTAATCCTTGATTTAATCTCAGTTCTGCCTACAGCCATGTCACTCTGGGTTCATGGGACCACTATGGAACAGAAAGTAGAGAGAGGAGCCTCCTTTGCCCTTTGAGTCTCTAAGACCTAGACCAGTAATTACTAATATTAGGCCAGTAATAACTCAGCTCACGGGTGATGGTTGGAGAAGGATATGGTGGTGGCTGACTGGGAATGCTACATGCAGGAGGGAGCATGCTCAGGCACATAGGAGACCTGAGGGCTCTATCTGCTTCCTTGGGCTAACTCCCTAGGTGAGGATGGACATGACCAAGCCATAGTCAGATTTGTGGGATCAGAGGTCTGAGAGACTCTTGGAGGGGAGGTGGTAAGACTCCAGAGAAGTTGTATGCCCTTGGAAGACAGAAAGAGGCTCTTGACAAGAAGAGCTGGGGCACTAAGAGTAACCAGTGGCTTGTGTGAGTGGCTGATGCCAGGAAAAAGTAGCAACTGAGAGGCTCTGTCCTTGTCAAATAAATTTCCCCTGGAATCTGCTACAACCCAGGGAGCGGGGCCTCCAAAGTGACCACACTTAATTTCAATCAATTCTGTATAATGGGAATTCCTTATAGAACTTAATTTGATAAATAGGAAAACTAAGAAAGCTCCATTTCCATTTCAAAACTTCTGGAGTTTGAAGATCAAGCTGTGTTACAGGACACACTGCTTTGCTTTGGGGGTTCCTGACTGATGAGAGAAGAAGCTCTTTCTTCCATTTTTATAATAACCCTAGGAATGGATGCTGCAGGAAGAATCCAAGGCTCAGGGAGGTGAAATAACTTGCATGTGGTTGTACAGTGAGTGGCAGAGTTGGAGTGAGCTGACTGACAGTAGGGATTTGCAGTGAACCCCAAGCATTTCCTGTCTCTCCGTGTTGTTAGGAGATAAATGCTGGCTGAGAGAGCAGACCAAATCAGGATAGGTTCTTAGTCCTAGGCTTCTTATCCCTGTCTGGAGTAGTTCAGAGCAGATCCCATAAGAACCCCGCCCCCCCAAGCCAGGGGTTTCCAGCTGCCTCTGCAAGAGACAATAGTAACACCACCTACCACTTACCTTCCTCCCGTTCACGAAGAACACCAGCTCATCTGAGCTCCGTGATGGGCCAGGCATGATGGCCTTGTGAATAAGTTTTGTCTCCAGGCTGTAGGCAGGAATGCTGTCAGGCACTGGGCTATAGAAGTGAGCAGAAGGGATTAAGGCCACAGTAACTGGAATCTCTCCCCAAGTGGAGGCAGGCAGCCTGGAGTCTCAGTGAGGAGGGCAAGAGGTGGAGACTTCCTTGCCTTGTGGCTTTTTAAGTCTAGGGACCTGTGTGGCCTGGCCACTAATCTCATACCTCACCTCCCACCAATTCTGGCTTTGAAGCTGGCTTAGGATGCAACCCGTACCTCTCCTTCTGTCTCTGAAATCCGAGGGCATTGTGCGAAATCCATAAACAGCAATTAACCTTAAACCAACTCTGTGCCCTGCTCCAGCCCTGCACCCTGCCTCAATCCTTGATAGGTTTCATTCCCAAAAGTTAGACAAGGCATTCCTGATCCTTGCACTTTTTCCAACTTGTTTTTATTCTTGCCATGTAAATGACCCTTTATAATCTACAGACAAGTCCAGTCTGTGCCCTAGTGGAGGTGGAGGTGGGGGTGCCACATCCACTTGGCCCTACTATACATTTCCTGCTTCTTCTCTATGCCCAGGATCATTCTGGGGAAAATAGTGATCTACTGAAGATATTCTGAGGTCAACAGCAGTGAGATTGGAAGCTCATGTCATTCAGAAGCAACTGGTAAAGTGAGAACTAAAACCAAGGTTTTCTGGTTTGAAACACCTCTAAGTGTACAGACAGACCCTTGATGAGAAGATACTGTGCTTGATCTCCTCAAGTATCTCCAATTGTATACAAAATAGCAAAATCATGCCATTTTCATTGTTCAGTTAAAGTAATGCCCAAGGCTTGGGCCCTGCATATAGGTGAAGAAAGTCACTGCTTTTGAGGTCTGGTTTTAGGAGAGGTGACAGATCTCTTCATTCTTCAACACATCCTTCGTGAGTTCATGAGCTCTGTTCTCTTTGTTAGAGTGAATCCCTTATGCTAAGATGATGAACACTTACAGGGCTTTGGGTCAGCAATGGCAAACATTCAGATCCTCTGGGCCTGGCTAACTGAGAACTTTCTTTCTCAGGCTGTCCACATGTGCCTTCCTCCTATCACAGAGCTATTCCAGAAAACACTCCTAATGAAATGTGGCGGTCAGCTTTCATATTGTTTTATAATCCTAAAGTCGAGCTCCTCAGGCACCTAGGTCTTCATACACCCATGAATATATTTGAGTGCATATGGGGGTGAGTTGTGGGTATTAAGAAGTTGCTGAATAAATTGATGGTAAGTTCATGGGAGGAGAAGTTGGAGATCTCCGAATCAGGTAGAACCTTCGGGTTAGCCTTTTTGGTCATGTCCTGCTGATCAAAAGCTCCCAATAGTTCTCTGAGGACTGGGCTATAAGATCCAAACTTAGTACAGTGTGCAAAATCTTCCATAGCCTGCTTCTGTTTCTGGGTTCAGATTCTTTTGTTCTGGGGGTCGAGGAAGTTCTCTTGCTCTAGTCAAAGTGCTCGTCTAACTGCCATTTTCTGCTTAACCTTGCATTTTTCTACTTAACAATCTTCCAGTGGCTTCCCATCCCACTTAGCAAAACCGCACATGCCTGCCACAGAACACCTGTGGGTTGGTTCCACACGACTCTCAGAATGTCTTCATCCACTCTCCCCCTTGTTCCTGTTCTCTGCCTCATTGGCCCTTTTCTTGCTTATGGTATATGCTAAACTCTTTCCTGTCCCAGGGCCTTGGTATAGGCTGTTCACTCTGCCCCACCTTCCTTCTCAGTCTTTGTCATGGTGGGTGCTTTGTTATTTGGGACTGAGCTCTTCATTGACCATTGATTCTCAAGTAGCACTCTGTCACCTTGATTTGTTTCATCCACAGCACCCATGTGCACCTTTGTGTTTGCTTTTTCCATAAGAAAATATAAGCTCCAGGAAGTCGGGGATGTGGTATTCAATTCTGGACACCAAGCATGATGCCTACAACAGGATAAATGCTTAATGAGTGCTAGATGACTGGAAAAGGCTCTTCTACGTCTGCAACGTTAATGCTCTTTTCCTGTCTCACTGCGGTCGCTCTTCCCTCCTCCCTTTACCACCAGGACAGAGAAGGCTGTCTCAGGAAGAGAGAGTAAGCCTGGAAGATGAACAGGAGTTGATTCCCTGAGAACTGAGAGGAGGAGGCACATGAAACTGAGAGGAGGAGCATGTGGAGACACAGACCCTTTGTATGGTCACTTTTGTGTAGGTGTTGTTTCTTGAGTCTTCTCTTTGCTCATCACTCCACACTTCTTTTAAGTCAGGGCAGCTCATATACACGAAGAATACACAACTGCCACGTACAGGAGGAGCTCTGATGTGCCAGTGACTTAGATGTATGTATCATGGTGCTACAAAAATACTGGAATAAATCCTTCAAGCACAAGCATTCAGAGTAGAAAAACAATCTGGAGAACTAAAGTTGGATTATGGTATTAGATTCGGGTGATGTGAAAGTACTTTGGATCAGGTAACCAAATGTACTAATTGCTGGGAAACTGAAAACCAATCTGAATTGCTATAGAGAAGTGTTTTTCAAGCAAAAGAAAACCTTTGTTTGAATGAAATCTTGGGAAATGTAAACAGATTGAGCAAAAAAATGCTGCTGTAGCCAGGGGACCTAGGTGAGGTCTGAAGCTTCAGACTTTCACTCTAGACAGGTGCAAAGCCCCTGTGGTTTTGGGCTACTCCATTTGGAAACAACTTCAGAATGAACAAAAGGCTGTGCAGTGAGAGGGCAGGATGAGGCTTTTTCCAAGTTTTTCTCACTCTCAGGTCTTTTTCAAGACAATGGGAAAAAGCAACCACGTTTGTTTTCTGTACTTAAAAAAAATCTTTTATCTTTTATTTATTCTTTGACAATTTCACACATATTTCAATCTTATCTGCCCCCAATTCTCCTCTCCCACTCCCTCCTGGACACTCCTAACACATATGTCTCCTTCCCACCTTTTATGTAGTTTAAAACTTTTTCTTTGCAGCCTTCTGCTGGATAGCTTTAGCTGTCAACCTGACACATCTGGGAAGAAGCCTCATTTGGGGACTTTCCTCTATTGGACTGACCTGTGGGCATGTCTGTGAAGCATTTTCTTGATTGTTGAGTGATGTGTGAGGGCCCACACCACTGTGGGCAGTGCCGCTCCTCAGCAGGTGGTCCTGACTGTATAAGAAAGCAGGCTGAGCAGAGGGCAGAGGAGCAAGCCTGTAAGTGGTATTCCTCTGTGGTTTGTGCTTTGGTTTCTGCCTCTGGGTTCTTGCTCTGTTTGAGATCCAGCCTTACTTCCCTCAAAGATGGTCTGTGCCTTGGAAGTGTAAGGTGGAACCCTTTTCTCTGTAAGTTAATTTTGGTCAGTGTTTTATCACTGCAAACACATCACACTAAACAAACTAGGACAAACCCACCAAGTCCAATTGGTATTGCCTGGCATTTTGACTGATCTTGTTGGCCTGATAACTGTAACGACAGCAAGTTCATGACTGAAATGGCCATGCCACGTCCAGGGGACTTCACTTCACAGTGCTTCTTCCTATCCTCCAGCTCTTAAATTTTTTCTGCCCTCTCTTCTGAGCCTTGGGATAGGAGGGTTGATACAGATGCCCCATTTAGGCCTGAGCACTCAAATGTCACTTATTCTCGGCACACTGACCAGTTATGAGTCTCTGCCTTAGCAGCCGCCCACTACAAAAGAGTAGCACTAATTCATAAGTATAAACATAAAAATTTATAAGGCAGTTTGACCATTATGTTCATTTAGCAAAATAATAGTAGGAGGTTCTCCCCTGGGGCTATGACCTCCTGAGATAGGAACTTTTGAAGACCAGGTTGACAGTACCAGGCATGAATTCCCTTCTGTGGATCAGGCCTCAAACATAGTAAGAAAGCAATTGGTTACTCCCATAACCTTCATGCCCACTATTGCACCAATGGGCACGTTTTGACTGGAAGGTCAGTTGTAGCATTCAGGGTTCACTGCTTGACAATGTCATTGATGACTTTTATTCCCCAGGGGCCTGTTTAGACTATCCAGCTCTATGAAAGCTAGCCAACAAAGAGGAAGTTTTCAGGTCAGTGAGAGCTTGACTTCTCTATGTCTTACAACCAATGTGCTGTGTCTTTAACACTATATACTGTTTTACTTTAATGAAAAAGGAAGACTAAATTTATGTGTGTGAGTGGGTGACCCTGGGTGCAAGCTTGTGTGTTGATTGGGGTTGAATGTAGCACCATTCAAGGCAAGTGCTCTACAATTGAGCTACACCCCAGACCTAAATTTCTTCACTTTTGAATGATTTGTTCTAACTGGTAAGAGAAACTTCATTTATATTGACACAACTACTAGTATGTTTGCTACAAAAAAGGTCTTATGTTTTACAGCCAAAGAATCCTATGTTATGGTTTGGATGTGAAATGTCTCCCAGAGGCTTGTGTGTTAAAATCTTGGTTCCCTTATGTTGTTGAGAGGGGATTAGATCATAAGGGCACTAATGTCATCAAAGAGTTAACCCATTGATTAGTTATAGCTAAACAGGTTATTAGGAGGTATGGTCTATGAAGGGTGTATTTCTCTCTCTCTCTCTCCCCTTCTCCCCCTCCCTTCCCCTCCCCCCTACATCGTTCTCTCTGCTTCCTGGCCACTGTGAGGTAAGCAGCTCTATTGTACCACATATTCCATTCCATGCTGTTCTGCTTCAATATAGACCAGAAACAAGTAGGTTAAATGAATGCAACACCTGAAACTACGAGCCAAAATAAATTTATCTTCCTGGAAGGTTTTTTTCTTAGGCATTTTGTCACAGTAACAGAAAAGTAACACATCCTGTTAGCCAACAAAGAAATGAATGTTGGAAATCACATAGCTTTCCTCAATAATTTAATTGAAACTTTTGGGGAGGTGAGAGCCACACCTCTTGCTTACTGATGGAAATGGGAAAGTACTGGCTTTGTTGTAGTTAGTACATCTTATGGCATTCCA